AAGAAACTCTAACATCACATTCTTTGTCATGAAAGAATCTGAGAAAATAATTACACAAACAAGTTTTTAAAATAAATTAGGGTCATTTTGGTTCACAGTTGAAATCAGAATTGGAATGGTCTATTCCCATAGTTTGTTTGGTTCAGATGGGAATGGGAATGAAATTGGAATCAACAGGAATGGGATTTCATTCCCAAGGGAGGGGAGCGAATGGCCATTCCCTCAAATGGGGCAATGCCATTTAGGGGTGAGAAAAAAAATCGAAAAACCAAACCGAAAAATCGGTTAACCGAACTGGTCGGTTTGGTTTTGGTTCGATGTTTTCAAAAAATTGACAGTTTCGGTTCGATTTTGGTTAGCCATTTAAAAAAACCAGTGGTTAACCGAACTGACCGATATATAAACAGTAATATATATTTATATAATATTACATATATTATATTATATATTCTATTTTATTTTTTTTAATCGAATAAAAAAGTTTGGCAGTTTGAGAGTGTTAGACTACCGAATTGAGACTTTCAGGTTTCAGCCTTTCTCTTCAAAAGGCTGGCAGACTAGCAGCCAGACTGGCGAACACTGGTGAACAAGTGAACACTACCAGACTAGTAGTCTGAGTGTCTGACACCCACTGCGCCTTTCCCTTTCCCCTTTGTTTCCCTCTCTCTCTCTGAGCTCTCTCTCTCAAACTCTCGCTCTCTCAAACTCCTAGTTCTCTTCTTCCCCAACGGACCGACGGCCTTTGGCGCTCCACCCTCCAACCAAATCACCGACGGCCTCCGACGATCGAGTCACTGACGTCTAACACTCCGACCACTTGTTTCACCTCACTCTCTGTTCTCTAACTCATAATAGGAAATGTTAAAGGGAATGGAAAGAAGGAACCCAATAGTGACGTGACCCAAGAGAAGTTGCAAGAAGAAGAAGAAGTGGAGGAAGAGGAGGTTACAATAGCGATGCGATCCAAGAGACGCATAGCAAACTGCTGGCGTGAGATCCATGGCCAAGGCGACGAGGCTGGTATGCTCGACCCAATCGATCCCCTCTTGCGCTCTAAGCTCATTCGCTATGGGGAGATGGCACAAGCTTGCTACGACGCCTTCGACTATGACCCTTCCTCCAGGTACTATGGCAACTGTCGATTCATGCGTCGCAAATTCTTCGACTGTCTAGGGATGGCCAGCCAACTTTAGCGACACTGGCGATCCCTCCTGCTTCCAAAACCTGGAGGCTCTGCTGCATTTGCTCAACGGGTTAGTCTTGTCTTTTTTCCTTTCCTTCGAGGCTCTGTTGCATTATGCTGTGTTCCCTTTTTTTAATTTTGAGGGCATGAAAAAACGAAAAAACCGAATTGCTGTTAACTGGTCCACCGGTTAACCGGTCGACTGGTTAACTGGTTGCATCGGTTCGGTCTAGAAAATCACCCCACGGTTTGGTAACCAAACCGTGAACACCCCTAATGCCATTCCACCAGGAATGGGGAATGGGATATCAATTCCACCCAACCAAACAGTTGGAATCGGAATAGCCCATTCCAATTCTGATTTTAGATCCCTATTCCTGCGAACCAAATAGGGCCTCATTTATTTGTAAGGTAAATTGCAAATAGGTACAATGTACCTTGGGTAGCCTCACTTTAGACTTGAACTTTCAAATGTGCCACTCTAGTACTTGAGCATCCGGAAATTACATTTACGTCCTATTTCATTAAACTAATGATACAATGATGGGGTAAAATTATGAAATGCCTATGTTCTGACTCTCTTTTTCTCGTAATTCTTCTTTCTTCTACTTTGAACTACGAACACAAAACAGTGGCGGCAAAGTAAGCATTGAAAAGTGAGACTAACCAAAGTCCAAAGGTAGGTATGGGCACTCTAATAATTTCATATCCTTCATCGTGACATTAGTTTAATGGAGTTGAACTTAAATGTATATCTTTGGAAGTTCAAATACTAAAGTGGAATTTGAAAGTTGAGGCCCTAAAGTAATACTATCTCCAAAGTGTAGGGTACCTATATGCAATTTACCCTTATTTATATAATATTTATTTTGTAAAACCAATTCTATACATTTGAATCCCACCACAAGCAACTTTTCAATTTCCACCAAAGATAGTATGTCTAGGAATATACTCTTTATCCGACAAAGTTGTAAATCCTATTAAAATGATCATTTTGCTAAACACATTCCAATTTGCTCCAACATGCCTAGATATTAACTCTAGAAAGACCTCACAAGTTGGTATATCAAAAGCAAGTCCGATACCCAACAAAATACCATTACAAAATTTAGGGATTACATGTAACAATTCAATTACTCCAATCTAAAAGTGTGGAAGCACACTAGAAAGGGTCCAATTCATAAGCACTAATACTCATACCTTAGGTTTAACCCTAGAAGTTGAAAAAGACTACTCCATCCCTTAGGTAGTATAATTATGCCAATCATCCAAATAGACTATCCAAGTCTATTCACCAGTGAAGAACATTTAGTCTATTAACTGATTATATAAGTCTTAAAACATAATCCTAAAATGTAGATCAAAGACATAACACAGAAATATACCAATTTGGCACAAGAAGTTGTACTAAAAACTCAATTATATTCATAATAAAGTGGTTTAAATACAATATTGGATCCTAAGGGCATATATTATCTAACAATTTAAGACTTATTTAGTGTTACTGATTTATTTTTATGATTTACCTAAATTTCTAAATTCCATAGTTTATCAATGTGTCTCCAAAGAGTATCCTGATGTCTTTTGAAATTGTCTTTTTAATACATAATGTGTTTCTAATACTTTGAACTTTGCTTTCCAATGTATCATTGTAATTTGTATATCCAAAAAAACATATTGCAAAGTAGAAAAATATGAATATAGTTATACATTAGGAAAACTCCAACAAATCCTATAAATATTTTTATTGCTATTTAATCCAAGGATGGAATAACTATAACTTAGTAAGTTATTTATATAAAATAAAATAATTATTAATTATTTTTATTGATAAAATATTTTTTTAATGTAACAAAAAGAATTTAATTAATAAAAGAAATAAGATAAATAAAAAACTAATATCAATTTAAAATTAATATAAACTAATAAAAATTATCAAACAATTATTAGTTTTATAATTAAATTTTATTAATTTAAAACCAACTTAAGTTCCACTAAAAAAAATTTATACAAATTTCATAAGGAATTTAAATTTAATAAAAACTGAATATACTTAAATAAATTCAATTTTTAATAATTTTAAAAATTAATAAAACAATATTAATTTTAAATATAGTTTAATTGTTTTAAAATCAATTTAAATTCCATTTAAAAATAAGAAAAATTATAAAAACCTCTTTGAGTTTTCTAACAATCCTATGAAGCTCCCCAGTGTTTTGACCTTAACAAAGCCTCCCCTATTGTTTTGAAAAAAGATGCAAAAGTAGAAGAGTAAGGAGAATTATTCCTTGGAAGTTATCTAGAAAAATAAATTAGTAAAGGGTAAGGTTGAAACTTTAAGTTATGTATGATAATGCATTAACAATGATAAGACTTCAATGTCTTTGCTATAGAAAAGCCAAGGTAAAGGAAGTATTTGCACTTTTTTTCTCAAAACTATAGGAGAGGCCTTTGTTCGGGTCAAAACACAAGGGTGGTTTATAGAATTGTTTTAACCGGATGCTTTTTTATAATTTTACCTAGAAATAATACAAAAATAATAATAAACCAATAAAAATTAATAAAAAGTTCTTTTTCAAATTTATCTAGAGAATAGGAAATTGGCCACTCTCACTAAAGTGCAACTTAAATTGTCATTGGATAAACTAGGCATAACCCCAAAAAATAATACTTGAATTGAACTTAGATGGACACCACTTAATTGGAAAATGTTATAGAACTCCATCTTCAATTTTCTTATAAATAAAGCTGGTGCAATGCACGGGTCTTGGCTAGTTTCTATATATACACCATCATTTTTATTAGTTACAAGCCACTAACCCTCTCCTGTCTTATCTTTATCCAAGTGGTAACTCTATGGCCCATTCACTTTTAGTGAAGTTACTTACCCAAGTGTTTCTTGGGAAATACTTACCTAAGTAAGTGCATTTACCCATGTTCTTTTATTTCCCAAGTAAATAAAATAATGACTATTTTATTCATAAAAACACCATTACTAAAAGAGGTAATTTTGTCTCATCCAATTGTTGGCAACTTCCCCATAGATGGGAAAGTTGCCCACTTGGAGACGGATGTCACTTTCCCAGGGAAAATAAATTTTCCATGAACCCCACATAAATATGAAAAAAAAACATGGATATCTTGGTTATGGGAATAACCAAGATATTTATTTGTATGAGATATTTATTTGTATTTCAGGATTCTTAGTGTCCATTTTGGTTGCTACCAATCCTTTAAGCATCTAGCTATAATAACGAGAATTTTTAACTTCACAACTTCTTGTTTTATTTTGTACGGATAGATGGATTCAGTGTTGGTCAAACTGCAAAATGTAAATTTTAACTACTCCAGCCAAGGATTAGATAGTCTAGAAATGGGAAAGGCATTATCTTTGCAATTAGGTACACTAGATTTTCAACTTTTTTTTTATGAAAAAGAAAACTGGAACTACAAATATGGAAGGACAGGTAACTATGGACGAATACAAGATAGATAACCATGTTCAATCACTTCAATGCAAATCTGTAAATTAAAAAGAAAAATGGTTACATGATAATGATGTGAGAAGTCCTATATATCCGATATAAAAGACAACTAGTCCAGATTCCTACATGTACATATTATATCTTTGCACAAGTAGGAGATGCAATACCGTGTTTCTAATGGGAAAACTGAATTAAATCAAAATGATTTATTACAAAAAAAAGAGAGTTTGAAAGAACATGGAAAAATATTTACTTGTGTGGGCAGATACAGTAGAAGATTCTTTTAGTTTAACTATAGAAAAAACCGTAATGTTTCCCCATAACACATAAGATTTGATCTATTTCTAAAGGGGAAAATGAATAAATCAAATTGATTTGTTACCAAACGTTTGAAACAATATTATACATTTTATTCATGCTCTCATTCTCCTCAGAAGTTAGTTTTCCCACAGCAAGGGATTGCACTGAATCTATTCAACCATCTCTACCATTGAGCAATGATACAGTTGCACGTATATTTTGTCTAATTACATGGAAAAGTTGGTCATCATCTGTTATGCTGATTCTGTCCCTTGGTCTGAAGTGCCATTGACATAACTCGCAGCCTATTTGTTATCTCAGTGAATGATGGTCTGTCTGCAGGATCAGGTGACCAGCAATGTTCCATTAGCTTTCTCCACTCAGGATCACAACGTTCCGGAATAGGTGGTCTCAGAGTATTGTTGACAATCCCCCCTTCATCCATAATAACATAATATATTGAAGTTAGAATTCTTAACAATGTCACAACTTATGGACATATGACACAATAGGTAATGAACATAGAAATTCAAACACAAAACAAGCTACTCAAAAGTTCGTTGCAGAATGTCTATAGGCAGACTCGAAAAAGACAATGCCTAGTATAACAAGAAAATAAAGATGAAGTTTTGCTTCATGCAATCATTCCTCTTTGAGGATCCAAAATTGTTGAACACATTCAATTTAAGCATGGACTATGTCCGTTCAAGCATTACAGAGACTGAATTTTCAATATGAAAATTCCAAAATGGCAAAGATATCTGACTACATTTTGAGCAAGATCTTTATTATATATTTGTTCACTTGTTACAGTTTGACACCCCCACAATCTAGGCAAATCAATCCAGTTATACAATTAGGAAATGAATATGAAGAAATGGATCACTAGTTTAGGATATGAAATTTGAACTAGACAAAGAAATATTTACATAGGTCCACTTATTCTTCCTCTTGTTGGCATGGGTTCTTTTACTCATCTTTTTAAGCATTCATTTCTCTCCAAAACTTTTGAGAACTCTCACAAATATGATAAAAAGCACTTGTCCCAAATTGGATTGGAAAGGGCAAGTTAAAAAGTGGGAGCTTGCCTATGGGATTTGGGGGTGCAAGAAGAGAGGATAAATATGCACTACCATGGTGTGTGCGTGTGTGCGCGCGCGTGCGCGCGTGTGTGTGTGTGTGTGTTTGCCTGACTTCTGGTTATAACAATTTCTTCCAAGGGTTTTTGTTTTCATTCTTTTGCATCTTCAAGCTGGGTGCTTCTCTGATGTAACAGAGGTCTTTTTTGTAAGATGTAAAATCTACTCAAGGACCGTGCTACACATGCCTTTTTTGTAAGATGTAACAGAGGTCTTTTTTTAGCTTTCAATTTTCATTCTTCCTGAACAGGTTACAGATTCCACATATTGATTATCTGGCAGCACTACACAAGTCAGAGGTTCCATTATACATAATGGTATAATTCGTTTTAATACCTATTTTCCAACATTCTTAAGTGGATTTCAATGGATTTACTATTCCCGATGTGTCGAAACTAGAACCCTTTGATGGAAGTATGGAATCCATTACAAATGATAGCAACAAAAACTTTATTTTCTTCTTAGAATTGCAAATATTTGACTGAACCTAGGGCTGTTGTTGATGAGCATGTGTATGAACCCACTAGATCTGGATCATGTGAAATATTGAGATATTGCTAATGATATTTGCAAGAGTGCTATTCTCAATTCCTTGACAAATAAACTAAATGATGCTTATTGTGGTTATCAGCATGCAGTACATATATGGAAAACTCTAAATAAGAAATATATTTCTGAAAATGCTTGCAACGAAAAGTTTGTTGTCAGAAACTTCTTASATTTTGTGATGACTAAAGAGAAATCTATATCCTCCCAAATACATGATTAGTAGATGCTTCTGAATGATCTCTCAACTGAGGAAATGGCCACCATACCCGAGGCTTTCCAAGACAGAGCTCTCATAAAAAAAAAAAAAAAAGAACTACCCCCTTCCTGGAAGGATTATGAGAATAATATGGAACACAAGAAAAGAGACTTCACTCTTCAGGACCTTATTACTCACATCAAGATAGAGGAAAATGACTGGAATAAAACCAAGATTGAAAAATCCAGTGAAGTCACCTCCAAGGCCAATTTGGTTGAGACAATCAATTCCAAGACATCCCAGAAACAGAATAAGGATCAACCCAAGAAGAAAAATAATCACTTCAAGAAACAAGGTGGTCAGTTTAAGAAAAAAATGATAACCCTTGTTTTGTTTATGGTAAAACTGGCCATTGGGGAGTAAATTTCAGGTTCAGGAAAAAGAAATGATAAGCAGGAAAAATCTAAGAATCCGGAAGCAAATCTTGTTGAGACTGAAATTATTACTGCCATGGTTTCAGAGGTGATCTTAGTAGGAGATTCCAAAGATAGGGTAGTTGACAATAATGCCACCAGGCATATCTGTGGCAACAGAGCAGCATTCACTTCCTTCTCAATTGTGGGGGAGGGAGAGCAAGTCTATATGGGCAATTCCAAGGCGTCACCAATCCTAGGAAAGGGAAAGGTGGTCCTCAAACTCACCTATAGGTTCTAGCATTGAATGACGTCCTATATGTGCCAGAAATTTGTTGGAGGTTGGAACCTAATTTCTAGAGCTTTGCTGAAAATGGCTAGGATGAAGTTGATTGTTGAATCTGATAATTTTGGTTCTTACTAAGAATGGTATGTTTGTTGGTAAAGGCTATATTGTAATAGTAGTCTCTTTGTACTGAATGCCCTGGAAATTATGAATGGAAATAGATCTGCTTCTGCTTACTTGGATGAACCTGTGAATGTTTGGCATGGTAGATTAGGTCCTTACATTAAGAAAATGAGTAAAATAGGCCCAATGTCATGCATGACATTTTATGAAACTGGAAAGTGTAAAGTTTGTGTTTAACCTAAATTCACAAAGAAAACTCATCCTATGGTAGAGACAGACTGAACCTCTAAATTTAATTCACAGTGATTTAGGAGACTGTTGAAAAACTTAGTTTTATTTCAATTTAGTGCCGCAAGGGCACATTTGTAATTGTACTTTTTATTGTTTTGAATGGTCGCCCTAGTATAAATATTAAAAAGGTTGGCACCGCTAGCTATTTTTTTCCTCTCCAATCTCTATTTTCTTTTCTCGCTTCTCCTTCTCTCACTATTCTGGGATCGTACTGCCTCTTTACCAAGAAAACATGGTATCAGAGCGACAGATCCAATCTTAGGAGCAGGGTGATCTGTGTGTTTCCTCCTCCAACTACTGTATTTTTCTATTGGTGATTGAATCAAAGGAAAAAGGTTTCTGGTTGACGTGTGAGGGAGCTTGCTGTGTATTTTTTTCTCTCTTGGTCGKGAGCCCAGAAATCATCAAGGGGAGGGAAGCCAAATGCTGTGAGGTTTTTTCTCCTTCTTTCTTCCTCAGCCTTGTGGATCGAACTGATCCTTTTGTACCCAGGTGAGTGGGTTATGTGGGTCTAATGACCTGCGGCTGGTGTGAGAGTGTTTTCTCTCATATATGTGGATCAAGTGATCCTTCTTATGCCCTGAAAGGTGGGCTGTTCAGGTCTGCAGTTCTGTAACTGCTGTGACAGCAGTTTGTTTTCTTCTTCAGTTCATAATGAAACTTAAATTGTTGTGTGGAAAGTTGATGAGTTATTGCTGGAGGGACTGGGCAGACCTATTTTTTGATATGTTTTACACATCTGAATGATGTTACAAGGTAGCATCAGCAGAGAATGTGGCAAACCCATTGACTAAGCCACTGACACAGAAAGTGTTTGAGAAACACGTGGAAAGTCTGAGACTCCGGCTTATACCCGATTGGACCTAAGTGCAAATGGGAGCTGTTAGACAGTATATGCCCTTAGCTCCAATCAGATTGATGTACTTATTGTCATTTATTGTAAATGAATAAAAGTGCATAATTGATTCATGTGATTTGGTGTGTTTCTGTGTAATACCCTTAAACTGGACACTTATGAGATTCGTGTTAATTTAGAATCTTCACAGCCATTGGATAGATCTGGGGAGATTTATCTTGCCAAGGTTGAC